GTTGTATTGTGCTATGGACTCCAAGTCCTTTGGGACCAGAGGCCCTCTAGACGACCAGAGCCTTTGGTTGTATAGACCAGAGCCTTTGGTTGTATTGTGCTATAGACTCCAAGTCCTTTGGGACTAGAGGCCCTCTGGACAACCAGAGCATCTGGTTGTATTGTGCTATGGACTCTAAGTCCTTCGGGACCAGAGGCCCTCTGGTTGTATAGACCAGAGCCTCTGGTTGTACTGCACTCTGGACTCCAAGTCCTTCGGGACTAGAGGCCCTCTGGACGACCAGAGCCTCTGGTTGTAGTGCGCTCTGGACGAAGTTCTGGCAGATTCTTGGAGCTAACGGTCTAATATTTGTATTTTTTTTTATAAAATATATATAATTATAAGCTTTGGTATAATCTCACTAAGCCTTGTCGCTTATTTTTTTAGAATAAATTTTCTTTCAGGAAAGTCGGTAGCTGCACAAGGGAAAGATAAAACAGTTTAGATCTGCTTGTGGGATTCCAGATCCTAGATATCTTTTGGTACTTGTTATGCATATATCGTTTTGAGTTGTACCTATGTATGTAATACTTTTGGATAGATATATCTGGGCTTTTGGACCCGACTTATAGTACCGAAAATCATCGGTTGCAGGCTATGTTATTATATTTTGGTGGAAATCTATAACATATATCCCGTATTTGCTTGGAGATTGTTTTATGGAAAAATCTTTTGGATAAATAGTTTCTTTTATTAAGAATTAGCGTAACCGATGTTACAATTATGGTATCAGAGCCGCGGTTTAAGCGATTTGAATATCAGAAATGGTATTTAGACTTAAACCTAGGCATTGAGATCGTATAGTAACTAGGMAATGATTTATACGGGATACGGACCTGTAGGAGAGACCTAAGTTGTGTTGGAACCAAGGGTAGGATTGTGTTTAACGTAGATGTGCTGTTTTCTCAGCAAAAATGGCGGAGCATGATGAGCAAAGTCAAACACAAAATGTTGGGGAAAACAACCCCGCACTGAATATAAATACCCCAGAAGGTGCCGGGAACGATGAAAATCCCACTTTGTCCCCTCGTACATAACGACTATTGAAACTTTTGGATGATCGATTGACTACGGCTCTGGAACGGCAGCGTCAGGAAATGGAGCGATGCTTTGAAGAAGAACGAAATCAAACAATCCCATGGAACCCGATAATCGTGGTAAGCATTCAAACGAAGTTGAAGATGCATTGAAACCTAAGTCCGCCCGAGTTTCGTTTAAAACTTTCAGAAGCTGTGGTGCTACAGAATATGCGGGGCAATCAGATCCCGAAATGGCGATGCAATGGATCCAGAACATGGAAAAGGTGTTCCGAATTACCGAGGTACTGGATAGAGATAAAGTAAATTATGCATCTGCGGTGCTCATAGAGTGAGCCCTGGTGTGCTGGAATGCCACATATGAGTCTTTAGACGCGACGACACGTAACAGTTTGGCGTGGAACGAATTTCAGAAAAAGTTCTTTGAACAATATTGCCATGTTGACCTACAAAGGCGTCTTGAAAAGGAGTTCTTAGATCTGAAGCAAGGTAAGATGACTATACTTGATTATGAAACTGAATTCAACAAGAAGGCGCGATTCGCACAACGATTCCTGAGCTCCGAACAGGATAAGATCGAACATTTCATTGGAGGACTACGGAAGGAGATTCAAAGTTTTGTGGTAAGTCGTGATGGTTCCAGTTTTAGCAAGATAGTTGAATACGCTCGGCGTTGTGAGTATGAATTATCCATTCCTAATGAAAATGAACCGATGTCGAAACATCCGCGAACTGAGAGGATGATGTCTACCCCAACACAACGGTACTCTAGATTTTCCAATCAGAGGAGAATTCAATCTCAGAGTACCCCACGTGCATCCTCTCAGGCATTTAGCCTTCAGTCGAGCACACCAAGAGACTGTCGGAGGTGCAGAAAGACGCACCAAGGCCGGTTTGATACGGATAGATCTGTCATTAAATGCTTTTGTTGTGGCAAAGTGGGTCACGTTAGGATGAATTTTCCCCAGAGAGATAGTGCATGCT